GAGAAATCACGCCCCTCTTTGAAAAGCGAGCATGGCGTGGCATTTTCGCTGGTCTTCTTCGTAACTGCGTTCTCCCAGTCTACAAAGCAAACGGCATCGAACGGCAAACCTCTGGGGGCTTATCCCTTGCACAAGGGGACTGATGACATTATCAGTGACAGTTTGCCAAAAACACTGAGACTCACAGGCTTCGCGGGATGCTGGAAAGCTCATCGGGAGCCTTCGAAGGCGGCCTGAGCTCCGGACCCTGCCAGATCCTCGAAGCCTCTCCGACAGAGTGACAGAACGTATCCCGTGGGCTCAGGAGCATGGGAGCATGTCGGAGCATTTCTGGCACCATTTCTGGCACTACGGCGATCGTGTCGCCTCCGTGTCAGCATGACAGTTGCAGCATTCCTGCCTCGGCTACGAAGAACGACAGGGAAGCCCGGCGCGGTCGGCGCAGCGAGAACCTTGGCAGCCACTGCAGCAAGGCGGAGGGGAAGGAGGGCGAAGGAGAAACCGCCACCGTCCGGCACGGGCCCGGAAGTCCGTGGCCCCTGCAAAGGGGATGTCCAAGTTGTGCAGAACCGAGTGGGACCCCACGTGCCTTGCTGGATCCTGGCAGCCCCGCACTCCCTCTGCCAGGATTTTTTGTGGGTTTCTGTGCTTCTAAGCTTTGGGGCCAGCCGTCCTGCACCTCATCGCAGATTAAGGAAGTGTCACCCGAGGGGGAGTTGTCTTCCGTGGATGAGGTGCCGCACTCTGCCTGGGAACCATCTTCTCCACGGCCGCTGATCAACGTCGCGAGCAATGTGCAACACCCTGCCTCTTCCTCGTCGGATTCGCCAGACACGGACTTGAAGTCCTTCACAAGGAAGAGAGAGAGAGAGAGAGAGAGAGAGAGAGAGAGAGAGCGCAACGACGAGCACCCCTCTACACCCTTCTGTGCTTGCTCGCTTCCCTAGTGTAGTCCCCTGAGATCAGCGAAACCTACCTTCCTCATCCTCCTTCAAGGCTGAGGAGTCCCCTCTACGGGGGACTCTACCGCTCTCAGTCCCTTTTGCTCAGCTCCTCGGACTGCCAGCTTTTCAGCGACTCGGGCTTCCCCGCGTCGCCTCAGGGACCATGCGTTTTTTTCCGTAGCGGCGGTCGCGGCGCCCCTTCTGTCAAGTTGCGCTGTCGGAGGCTCTCGATGGTTAGCGGAGGTGCCTGCATCGGAGCCTGAGCAGCAGCATTCTTCGATCTTCTTCTCAGTCCCAAAGATTCTGCCGTTTTCCAGGCTCCCTGACCGGCTTGGCGCCCTCCTCATCGTCGGAGAGCTCTCCTGTCAGAGCTTGAAACCCATGAGACCCTCGCCCTTCTTTAAGTTTCCTTTCTCCAAAAATGTCCACTGGGGGCCGCGCCCTCAAGGAGATCCAGGAAACGACTGCTTTCCTCCGAATTCTCGAGGTGCTCCTCGGTTCTCTCCTCACTCGAGTCGGGGATGACCTGACGAGTCGTGCGACGAGCGCAGAGGGCCCTAGGTCCGCTTCGGAAGAGCTGAGGCCCAAGACATGTCCGAAGAGAGCGCCCAGGTGGTGGATCTTCTTCTCCGACTCACCCTGCATGTGAGAGAGCTCTCGGCTCGTGGTGTGCCACCACTTAGCTTCTTCTTCCGGAGGGCGTAGGCCGAGGGACAAGCTATCACTTTTTGGGAAGGCTGACGTTTATCCGTGTAGCGACTTTGGGACACCTAGATTCAAATCCCCTGCAGATTGCCACTGGGTTCATCTTGCAGGAAAAGATAAGCTCCTCTCTCTCTCTCTTGCTTGCTTGCTCGCTCTCTGCTCTGGGCCTTCGCCTCGGATTTCGAGCGACTGGAGCGGTGGCTGTGCATTGTGGAAGCGGTGCTTCGACTCCACCTCAAGTGCCGCCACTTCTGAAGAGTTCACTTCGGCCCCACTTTGCCGCTTTCCGAGGCTCCAGACACAGATCTCATGTCTGTGTCGGGGGCCGCCGTCTTGCTGCCGTCCTGGATACGCTGGGTTTCCAAACCGAGGTCCTTTTCCGGTCTCTGGACAGAGCCCCGGCCTTCTTTTGGAAAACTTTTGCGAGCTCGTCTTTCCACCTGGGCTCTGCTGGCTTCATAATCGTTGTGCTCGGCGCGTCCAGCTCGCATACGCGATTCTTTGAGCTAAAGGCATCTGCTCCGCAACTGAATGGAGATCATGACGAGAAGCACCTCAAGAAGGACCGACTCGGGCGCGCAGTGAGCGACTGATCGAAAGCCCGATACACTTGCCCTGAAGTGGCCGTCTGCGGCGCCGGCCAAGCTTCTCTGCAAGAGTCTCTCCCAGCTTTGGCACCGTGGTAGTCCTTACCAGAAAGGTTGCAGAATTCCGCCCAGGCCCAGCGCACAGACTTTTCTCTTACGCGGTCCTCCACTCTTGGCAGATCTGGTCGTAAGAAACGCCCTCCGAAGCCGCCTGTCTGCTTGGGAAGGCGATACCCACGACGCGACGCCGGGCTGACACCGAAGCAAAGCCTGCAGGAGCCTCTCCACGGAGATTCGATCGGAGACGTCCTAAGCTTCAGGTGATACACTCTTGGACACGGGCAAACTGGGCAAATACATAGACTATGCAGACTTGCAAAGCCCCCCACCCGCTGGATGCCAGCATGGTAGTGCCTTACCGCCATTGCCGGTGCCGCAACCGACCGCATGCTCACACGCCAAAGAAGCTAGCTCTGTTAGCAAGGGCCTGTATGCATTCTGCGTTCACACGCTGTTCACACATCTGCATGCCTCCCTTCTATCTAGGCATGCAGGGCCTGTCTATGTCTGAAGTCGGCAGGCGTCTCTCTGCAAAGGAGTGTGCGTGCTTGCGCGCGTGCGCCTCTGCCGAACCCCATTAAGGCTCCGTGCTCCTTCGACAGCAGTTCTGCAGTTGCCGCGGGCATTACGCAGTGCCATGTGGGCCGCCGTGCAGCTACGGGAGCGGTGTCGATGTCCGGAGCCGACAGACCCTCTTTGAGAGTCGTGGCTGTCCGCATTTTTGGGCTCGTGGCGAGGCAGAGAAGCTATTTTTGTATACCGCAAGCGTTTTGGGCGCAAGTGCAGATAGAGACAACCTATAGTCTCCATTGTAGTTCCTTTTTGGGGTTACCTTTTAGGATCCTCAATCTAAAATGGGTTAGACCAAAAAAAGGAACTACAATGGAGACTATAGGAATGATAGAGACAGGCACCCGGAGCGCCAGGGCACGGGCCAACCCATGGTCGGGTGCTGATTCTTGCAAAGGGACATCTCGCAGACGAACAACCTAAGTTGCAGCGGCTTTTTTGGTGGGGGGCTCATCGATCAGCACCTGAATATGAAAAACCACGCAGATTGCGCTGATGATACGCCAAGCGGCTCCCCATTTTTCCTGGCGAGAAAAAACCAGTCGCACACCGTTAAAGGAACCCTTGCCCTTAAAGATTCCTTATAGTAGCCTTATGGACCCCTTTTAAAGCAAGCCTCAACCCAAGAAGGCAGGAGCCTGGTGTTGATGAGCAGCACCGACGGCGAGGATCCCCCCTGGTTGACCTTGGAACTCTTGCCCCTAGCACGAAAAGTGCCCGGAAGTTTCCTGAAAACAGAGTCTGAGGAGGAAGCGGTCTGAACTGCCTGCAGGTCGTGCCATCTTTTCGTCATAGCTTCACAGATTCAGCGGGGGATGGGGGCGGTCCAAGGTCCAGCCTCTTCAGCCGCTTGCGTCATTCTCTTGATGCCCGCATTTGCCTCTCACGGCGCAGCAGTACGGCTGACCGAGGCCCTCCTGCAAACCCATGACAGTGGCCTGCTCTTCAGAAAGCCCCAAGTCAGATGCCACCTGGAGTTCGACATGAATGAATAAAATTCGGATATATTCTTGCTGTTATAAAAATTGCGGAAGGAGCCTTGTTGAGCATGGCCATGCCAGGCTTGTGATTCAACAAGCCCGCACCTGAAGAGAGTCTCAACTCTCAGAAACAGAATTGCACGGTTTAGGGTGTAGGGCTTTTTCCCTCTCGCATGGCTAAGGATCTATGCCGGTTTAGGGTTTACGCTCTCACAACTCGGGCAAGCCAGGCGAGGTTCATGGCGGCTTAGGGTTTTTTTCCCTAGGGTCCATGGCCAGGCACCGCCAATCATCTCGCCGCAGCGCATGCCGACCTCCCAACAGCCAACCACGTCACAACTCCAGGCGCTGCGCAAGAACTGCACAAGAGTACTGCTAGGAGTGCCACGCATTCGGATGCATCATAGCCGAAGAGCTCCTGCCAATGAATGAAGCTTTGGCACGTGTCGTTCACAAGCGCTGCGGCATCCAAACGAGTGGGACACCCCTGCCCTATTTGGCTTGCGGATCTGAGTGTCCTGGAAGCCCTTGCTGACCTAGGCAACATCAGCAACCAGAAACTGAAGCAGGAGACCTATGGAACGTAGTACAGCCCGGACGGGAAGGGAATTTTGGACAAGGCTCATGTCGGATTGGGAAGCCTTTGGCTTTGGAGTCGCAAATGACGTAGCTGTCCACGTCCTGCATGGGCTGACTTGCAATCTACGCTGCTCCTCCCTTTCATTCGGAGGTGGAAGCTGATATGCTCCTTCATGCTCCTGTGCGATACCGTTGCTATCGCACACAAAATGCTGTCGTCCAGTGGCCGCCTTCACCTTCGTGCACCAGGATGCACACTGTGGAAGATCGACATACTGTAGCCCAGCTAGGATTCCCTGCAGAAGTCAGCCACCTCACAAGTGGCTAAAACCGCAGACCGGTATTATTGAGCCAGCCTGGATATAGCTGCGGAGACACCCTGCCATACGACAAACATGAATTGGCCGGCAGCAGCAGCAGCAGCAGCAGCAGCATATCACACACTGTCGCTACATGCACATTTCTCTCTGGAACCGCACGTCGTCTGTGCTGCGGCTGGCAGATTTAAGGTCGAGCACCTGGTTTCAGGGCCGTGGACTGCAAGCATCCTACTGTGCACGGTGGCCGCGGCACGCTCAGAGACCTTGGCAGCCACCAGCAAGACAGGAACACCCCGTTGCGTTAATCCACCGTGGACGCTCACCCGTCCCTCCGAAATCAGAGGCCAAGCACGCAGCATGCAAAGCTTCAAGCATCGTGTTACACATCGCTTCGTCCGAAGAAAGGTAGAGTGACCAGGAAAGTTCACTCTTAGTAAGTACATCTGCTGGTTCTCCGGCTTCGGGATGCTGAGCTGAGTCTTGATCTTCCGAGATGCTTGCTTCGAGACCGAAGCTTCACCACAGCTCTCGGCGTTGCAAAATATCTAGAGGAGGCGTGGCTTGGCAAGGGCCGACCCACCAGACGGGCGTCTAGGCGCCCGGCCCTGCAGGAGACCAATTGCCTGCGGCCGCCAAGGTTTCACTTTCCGACTCTTCTCGATTTTGGAAAAATGCGGTGCGACATGCTGCCGATCTCCGTGTCTGCTCTTCCCCTCACCGTGACCTCCCGGATGAGGGCGCGGGCGCTGTCGTCGCTTCCCGCGGCCACGGCCGCGATGGCCTGGTCGGCCTTCGGCGCTTCTCGGCGGCGCTTCGGCGGGTTTCTCTGCCCGTGTCGAGGCCTTCTTGCGGGCCTCCGCCTGTCGCTTGGACCTCGGCTTCGGCTTCCGAGAGGCGGCCCAAATGTTGGCCCAACCCTCCTAAGCTCCCGGCGCCGAAAGCGTGCTTCCTGCAGCGGGGACGGGTGCTGGCCTGAGTATCACGAGGACACAGAGTGCGAGGCCAACATGTGCCTAGAAAGCCTCTACAGACACTACTGCCTAATGCCTCGCACCCCACTGAAGGCTCCAGCTGGGCTTGTGGGACGACGGCCTCGTTGCGGCAGAATCTCGAAAAAGAGCTTCAGCAAAGAATTGCAAGCAAGGTGCGTGCACCCTCAATATCTCGGACTCAGGAACTCTTTTCAACGTCGACCGTGCGATTTCACAAGTCCCTCTGCAGGGCCGCTGATGAGCTAATCGATGTGCAGCCTGCCAGGCACTCAAGATCACTCTCAAGGCAAAAGCGCTGTCGCATATGACCCATGACAACCATGTCCATGCAGCCTGAGGCCCCAGACTGCCCGCAGATGTTCACAGCTGTTCCTGGGAAGGGGATCTCATGCCAAGGTTGCGAAATCTTTTCTCTTCTGCTGTGCAGCTGAGGCACGCCATCCTTCCGCATCAGGTTTTTCTGGCGGAGACAAAGAGGAAAGAATGCAGGGCGTGGAGCTTGACAGCTACCATGGCACAGATTGCCGTCAATTGCCGTGCGACCCCGGCGCCTGCTTGCCTTCCGCCATCCTCCTGTGATAAGCCTGTTCCCGGCTATCGTAGTTGGAGTCCGTTGGCAGCATGAAAACCGGCTTCTCCGCCTCACGAAGCAAGTCTTCACCCCCTGCCCAACATAGCCCTTGCGTCGCCTCCTTGTTGATCGTCATAAACCTGCACAGGCTTTAGGCTCTTCAGCCTAGGACAAGCCAATCTAATTCCGAGCACGGCAAGCTTCTACTTCCTAGCTTCGTCAAACCAATGGGACACATCGAAGGTCGTACTTTGTATCGTGCTTGGTGCATGCAAGTGGCAGCTTGCCAAGCTCTGCGATCAACGAGTCGCCTGGTTGCATTGCGAAGGCTGAGGCTGTGTGAACCGGCCCGGCGGCCTAATGACCACATTATGCCTTGGCCTTGGCCTGTGTTGCAACTGTGAGTATGAGCGGCTGTTGATGCTGTTGCCGAACGTCCGCTTGCACAGGAGAGAACCCGCACTTTCGAAGGAATCTTTGGAAGTTTTCAATAGCTGACAATGACCGAAGAGTACTCTGCGCAAGAAGGCAACCCTTTTGTCTCCGGGCCGCTCAAAGTGATGGCGTCCTCGATCTGCTGGTCGCGTGCGGCTAGCTGCAGCCCTCGGGCTGCCGTCTCAATGCCTCAAACCCTCGAGACTTGCACGAACTTTGGAAAACTTCGGCTAAGGGGCTGCAAAGAGGTGTTCTCAGGACGCTTTAGTTCAAGAGTTCCAAACTTGGCCGTCTTGCTATGTCTTGGTCTTCGAGTCTTCCAAGCCACGCTCGAAGCTCGGCTTGAAGTCGACCTCCCCATCCTCCTCCTTGAGAAGCCGATCGGAGCTGAAGACAAAGCTACTGGTAGCAAACAAGGCCATCAAGAGCTCTCTAGTCTGGATCTGGGCATGTGACTGCTGAGGTGGCCCTTGCAAGCATGTTTCGGAAGGAAGCTGACCGGGATCCTCTTCTCTAGACGAATTTTCCCGCTTCGCTACGTCCCCTGTAGGATAAGGCCAGCTGGGGCCAAGCGACTCCAGCCAAGACGAACTGGCGAAGCGGCGTGAGCAAGTCTCCTGATTTTCGGGTCCCTGCAACTGCTCCAAATCTTGCTGTGTGGACGCGCAGACACTCCGCAATACCAAAGCCGAAGTACGCGCTGAAAGCCCACCAGATATGATTCATCTTACATGAATTTCTGCAAAGTCACGGTCGATTGCCGTGTTGCTGCCTGCTGAGTTGTCCACCAAGTTCACTGCTTGCTGGAAAAGGCGCGTGCCTTAGCGCGGCTCGTGGACTCGAAGACGACGCTTTAGGAAACGGGCTTCGCTCCACGCCTCCCCTCACATAATTCTGAACGTCGAAGTAGAGGACGTCCATGCCACCCTGGTGAGGCGTAGTTATAACCCACGGCCGAATGCACTCGGTACTGAGACTCATGCCTGCAGCTGCTCCGCATACCTACGAGGCTGGGTGGACAAGTCCCTGCGACGCCTGCGATGCAAGACGTCACCCGGCCTGCCCACTGCCCGTGCCAGAGGCGGAGAAAGCTCCGCCCGCGCCGATGGAGCCCACCCTCGCAGGTGAAATCTGGTGACACTCTGACGCTCCGTGTGCGCTATCACACGAGTTTAGAGGTGCAGAGCAGAGAGGCTCGGAGAGAAATAGAGGAGGGGGTTTGCACCTACATTTATTGCCATGTGTGCGCATGCACTCCGCACAGAACATGCTTCGGGCAGTTTACCTGCATACATACATGCCTGCACGCATCAGTGAAGGCCTGCATGCGTGCCACCTGCGAGATCGGTGCTGCCGCCTATTTCCGACTCTACCGTCTGCCTTCCAAGCACTGCTTCACACCTCTCGCAACCTATCCCCAAGACCGAAGCGCATTGATGCTGGTCTTCCCATCGGCCACTCCGAGGACGCTTACAGAGTTTCGGCCCTGGTCCTGTAGGCGCCTAGTCCCGCAGCGGCCGCTGGAATGGCGCTAGCAAGCCACGCCCGCCTGCCCGAGCAGAGGATGAAGAAGGCTGTAATTCGGTCGCCAGAAGACCCCGGCAGCACCTCGCAAGACGAGGGCCCGCGCTGAAGTCCAAGGCCCCCGCCTGCCCTGATGAAGGCGTCTTAAGGCACTCGCATGAAGGCACTTGCACGATTCGACTCGGCGCCTGCTGTGTGCAGGGCCACCAGGCCCAGGAGCACAGCGCACGGCAGGCTCAGACGTGAACGCTGGCGAGGCATTCTCGGAGTGCCGAATGCTCGAGACAGGCAAGCACAAGCTGTGAGCTCCTGTAGAAGATGATGTGACTTGATGTCGGCTGATAGGACTTTAGGATGCCATGTTGGCTTTATCTGAAGGTGTTCGCGGTGCTCTTCACGGCAGTTGAAGTTGGCTTCACCACTCCGCTAAGAACCAGATAAGTCAGCACACAAGGGTGGTCTTGATGCATCCGATTTGCAAGAGGCGCCAGAATCCCCAAGTTCGCCACGTCCACTGTTGAGCTGCCGACGGTTGGCCGGCTGGGCGGCGGCGCCGAAGGCTTCGGCTGTGCCTTCGGGCTGAGAAGGAGCCCTCACTTCTTCCACCGTAACAGCCCGGTTATCTGCTTTTTTTCCCTGATATTCTACATTGTACATGGCCTATATATGGCAGTCGACTATATGGCAGTCCCTATGCGGTCGTGTCTCCCTCGACGAAGACCGTGCTCTCAGATAGTTTCTCGACCTGCTATCCGCATTTGAGATGCCTCCTGCCAAAGCCCCCCCCCAGCCTTCGGTGCGGCTGCGGGGGCTGCGGGTGGGTCCGGCGCAGCCGGTGCGGCAGGAGCCCTGCAGGCAGAGCAGATGTGCATGCGACGTGCTGAGCAAGCGAGAGAAGGTACGGACGGCCACGCACTCTGGGCCTCGGAGGCGGCGGTGGAACCACGGGCGCTTGCGCCGCTGGGGCCGCTGGGGCCGCTGGGGCCGCTGGGGCCGCTGGGGCCAAGGGCTGCTGTGGTGGTTGCGGGGCCTCCGGCCTTGAGGCGAAGCTCCAGATGCGAGAAGAGACAGCCCAAACAAAACATCTTGGGGCAGCGGCGCTCGTTGCAGGCGCAAGCCTCAGGGACATTCGGAGACTGGGAGAGGAGACGGCAAATTCGGGGGACTTCTGCTCCCGGCAGCTTCGGAGGTGTTCCGCGCGGCTCTTGGCGTACTGCGCCCTTACTACTGCGCACTGCAGAAGAGCCCAAAGGAGCATCTGCACAGCGCGCTGGGCCCGGGGCCTCTCCTTGAGGGCAGGCCTCACAGCCCCGAAAACCGCAAGGCCAAGGCCAAGGCCAATAAGAGATAAAACTATCTTATAAGATGCGTTATAATAAGATATTGAGATATTGTCAGGTTCCTCTCCTCTCCTCAGCCTTAGCCAAGCAGCTCGACGGCACCGAACTGCGCCAAGGCGTCAAGGCAAAGGCCAGCGGTCTGCGAAAGGGGCATATACTCTCTGTCTTGCACCACGCTCGGCTCATCTCGGCTCTCAGCGTGAAAAGCCTGGGGCCGAGGCCAGCAGATCCCACGCCTGCTTCGCATCCGCGGGCCCGCCGTCGGCCTGCGGATTTCACAGCGAAGGCCCCTTCGGGCCAGGCGAGAGAAGGCAACCCCCCCCAAACTCGTCTTGAAAAGAAGGGAGATCGGAGCAGCTGTGCGCGAGGCCATGGCCATGCCATGCCCCCACAAACCCTCAGAAACACGCAAACCCAGAGCGGCAGAAACAGCTTGCTCGTAGTTCTGCACCGCAAAATGCCGTAGCTGCTCCTCGGCCGAATGAGAAGAGAGAGAGAGAGAGAGAGAGAGAGAGAGAGCGAGACACGAACAAGAGAGCCTGTGTCATGGTCGCAGCAAATCCCTTGAAAACTGCCTCTGGGGCTGAAGTCTCTGTCCCAGAGCAGACTTTCGGGAGCTCAGGATCCCATCACGCAAACTTCTGCGAAGCACCATGTCTGCAAAGCGGACAAGCAGAGGGTTTGACGTTCACACCTCCGGGGCCGCCGCTGCGCCCCTCGAAAGGTCCAGCTTCGCTTTGGCTTCCTCTGCCTGCGGCTCATCCAAAGTCTCCCAGGAGTTTCGGGCGTGAACGGAGTTTCGTGCCCGTTTTGACGGCCTTCTCGAAGGTGGCGAAGAGCAGCTTGTCGGACTCGGCCTCAGGGTTTCCGGTCCCGGAACTGGACAAGCCCACGAAGCGAAAGGACTCGGAGCCCGAGGCATTTGTCTGGCCACGCTGCTTCGCCGTGAGCAGCATCTCCAGCGCATGTATCCGAACTCAGCAGCAAACTCAAAAGCCGCAGACAGGCCCTACGATGCCCTGCGTGCATGCCGCGCTTTCCTTACTCTGCGAAGTGCTGGGGTTGATGCGATAGTGTGCTGCCACGGGCTGGGACCCGTCGGCCTCCACCAAAACGGGGGAGGCCCAGCACTGCAAAAAAAGGGGCGAGCACCGCACTGCGCCTCCAGAGCTGCCGCCCGGTCCAGCAGACACAAAGCCTCAGAGCTCTGGCTCTGCTGAAGACCAGGAAGCGAGCCCACTTTTTGCACCTCGGGTGCCACCTCTGCTTGGGGCTCCTTCTTTGGAGGCTCCTGCTAGCATCCGCAGTGAAAATTGGAGCATGCTTTTTTATGGCTGTGTTCCTGCGGCGGCTGCGGGTCTGGAGCTTCTGGAAGCCTTCCAGCATCCTGTCGTAGAGTCGACCACACGGCCTCTCTCCGTATTTATTCACGTTGCAGGGCGGGAGAACTCCGGCAGAGTCCTCGGAGCCGGAGGTTTTGGCTTCCTCCAGGAGTTGGCTGACCATCTCTTCCCGCAGACCCTTTTGAGGCAGACACACAGAAGGATTGGACAAAAAGCAGCTTAGAGTCCAGGAAAGGCTCCAAATCCAGCTGCCGAGCCTCGGAAGAGCCTGCTGCCGGGGCTGCATTTCGTGGGCCCTGCCGCGTCTTGAGGAGCTTATGAAGGGCAGACAAGGCAGACTCACGGAATCAACCCGTTCTGGCGACTGAAGGACAAACACCTATGCTCAAGAGCCCAAGCATCCCAAGCCTCCTTCCCACGAAGTCGGTCCTCGCCCTCGTCAACACCCGGAGACTGGTCGGGCGCAAGGTTCGCCACGCAGCTCATCATCGACCGGAGCCTGGCATCTTTGAACTTGAACATACATACATTGAACTTCAACATACATACATACATACATACATACATACATACATACATACATACATACATACATACATACATGCATACATACATACATTAATACATACATACATTAATACATTACATACATTAATACATACATACATAGATACATACATACATACATACATACATACATACATACATACACGCACATACAACAAACATACATGTATCGGCATATGTTCAGGCCTCTCAGTCGCTTACCCCTCGACTCATGGAGTCTTCTTTTCCCGGAGCACGCACAGAGGAGTCTGAAGACCGGCAACATGCCGGCATGTGTAGAGTACGAAATTGAAACAGATACGACGGCTCAGGCCGTCAGCTTCAAGCTGTTCACCTGAGTTCCAGAAGAGCGCCACACAGACTTGCCAAGAGACCCCGTCCTGGCGCCTGCCCTCCCGCTTGGCCAGGCGGCGATGTAGTCCAAGTACTGCTTGCCGAGCGGACCCTTGTAGGATGCCTGGATGTGATCTGCCGGCGACAAGGCCAGCGCAAAGGTGACGATGCCCTTGCGCCTCAGCCCCCGGTCCATCCACGCTCTCGCGCTTTTCCGATACGTCTTTTGGCCGCCAAGCAGCAGGATAGCTTTGCCAGTGGTGCCTTGAGGAGGCGAGTCCTGACCGTTCGCGGGGCCCGGCGCCTCGGACTGCAAGTGGAAGGAGCCCTTGAGCTGCTCTGACTGCTAGAGCTGCTATAGTTGCCTTCAAGCGTCGCGTCCGATGGCTTCTGACAGAGGCACCAGCGATTTGCCTCTCGGCTCGGCTTTGGGCACAAAAAAACTCCACAAGAACTTGTCCACAACGACCGTCCACGGACCGTCCAGGCCTCCCAGGCCTTGCACTTGCCTCCAGAATGGGGGGCTGGGCTGGACAGGAGCCCAGAGACCCAGAGACGCAGAAAGAGAAAGAGAGGCGACCCTTGCTCTGCTATGCAGACACCCGCACAGAAAAACGAATTTGTAAGGGGACTCTTCCTGCAGCGAGACTAAAACTCGCTGAGCCCAAGGTGCTCATTGGGGTCTGCCGCCGCTTCCGGGCGGGTGAACTGGAGCTCGCTCACAGCGTGCCAGGAAAGAACCTGCTTGAGGCTGTATTCCCTACCCCGTGCATGCCGTATACAGCTTTTCCGTCGCTGTTTGAATTCTCAATATTACAGCAAAGTGCTGTCGGAAGGCCGTGCTCCCACCGGGTCCATCGCTGATTGCGTAATCGACCACGCTGATGTTGATCTGCACATCACATTGAGGCTCCTAAAGTTTATCCTAAGGCCTAAGGTATGATAGGTCCAAAGCACTATCAAATTGTCAACCTGCGAGCCTCTGGCATCTGCAAGCCCGCCTGCGCCATCTGCGCCTCCAGCGGATTTTCAGAGAGGAAGGATAAGGCAGGATTCAAGCCCCTGAGTCAAAACCACGGCCGTGGCACCTCTTGGCCGGCTCGCATCATCCACTCGGCAATGTTTGCGCCGGTCACGCCACCAAGGGCCACTTCCTTCACACAACATGCGCCACGGCACGGGCAGCAGGCCTCGCCCAGAGGAAGCCGCTGCCTTCCAGTCGCTGCGCTGGTCGTCCCCCTCACGTGGCATGAACTTGGCGCTGCGCAGCCTGAAGAGAAAGCCGATGGGGGAGCAAAGGGGGGGCCATTGGGCCATGCCCATGCAGCTCGGCCATGCCGGCTATGCGATGAGCAGAGCGACAAGGCCGGCAGGGGCAGCCGGGCACAGCGCACAGCCGTCAGGTCGGGGTCCTGGCCGGCACGAAGCGCCTCCATGTCCACGGGCGTCATGCCTTAAAGCTTGGTCTAGGGTCCGTCGCAAGTCGCACACACAGCTTTTTCCGGGGAGGACACTGACTATCAGCCGCCCGGCATAGTCGTTGAACCTACAGGCATGTGCTGTCTGAATCAATATCATGTTGATAATCAGCTCTTCGCTGCCGTCACAGCACACGCTGCCAGACAGTCAAGTCGCTCAGTCTGCCAATTCACCGGCAGCTGGATGCCTCAAAAACTTCGGGCCCCACGACAAAGGCTCACCGACAGCGAAGTTTTTGCCGTCCCAGATTCTGAAATCTCCCTGTCGACTCTGGACTGTGTTAAGGTAGGGGTCGCCAGTTGGCGTGTCCGTGGTCCGAAGGTTGAACTTGTTTGCAGCTTCCTGCACGCAACGTGACACGAACGGGACTCAGACCCAAAGAGAGTGAGTTCCACACGCTCTTTGGCGTTGATACAACCAAAAGCTGACATCTCCGCCTCCGCCATCGCAGGCTGAGCCGCACCCAAGGAGAGCAACAACGCCCGCCGACCCGGAGCCGAGCCTCGATGCAAAAGACCAATCTGCCTCAAAAAACTCCGACGAACTCTGGGGCCGCGAGCCCTGCTGGCCATCTCGTCCCGAAGGCGCCCAGCACCTCTCCCGGCTGCAGGGCCACGGCAGCTGCTGCACCTGCACCTGCTCATCTCGCACCTCGGTGCAAACCACACCGCCATGGCCAGGAGCAGAACCGCAGCGGCTGGCCGGCGCGCCATGGCAGGCGATCGGGCACGGCCCAAGCAAGTCAGCAAGCCCTTCAAGCCTGCAGAATCCTACAAGATGTAGAATGCAGTGCCTACTTCCTCGGCTACAGAGGGAGGCGCATGCGGTCCATGACGTGAGCTCGAGCCTGCTACAAAATTGTTGAAACGCTGCAGAGGCACAATGGTCAGCTTTTGGGGGGTCTCCTAAATCATCCATAGGTCCCCGCAGGTCAGGCCGCGGTGGCTCTTTCCACTTTCTCTGCGGCATTTACACGAGCATCGAGTGCAGCATCGAGTTTGGGCCGCAATCGCCGTCACAGTCTCCACAATGGAGTCCGGTGGGATCAAAGAGCGACTCTGGCATTGGCTGCAGATTCAAATCGAAGAATCGCAGGTCGATGGCGCCGTCCTCGCTGATGGAGGCCACGGGCAGATTCGTGTAGAAGTCTGAGTAGAAGTCCGAGATTCGTTGGACACGCTGCACCGCCCAAGGGACCTCAAGAGATCGAAGGCGAAAATGGTCTCTTCAGTTTCACGCAAGCGGGAATCTGAAAGAAAAGCTGAGGGACTGTATTGGACCACCGATGGCAAAGCTGCCCATCTAGGTAGTGAACACCCCGGTAGAGGGCCCCACCGGCCCAGCTTTCATTGAAAACCGGTTGGTGCATTGGCAGCTTGCGGCACTGCACGGCTTGTGCCTTGCCAGGTCCTGGCGGTAACCTCTCGTTGACCGTAGTTTGGTACATCGCCTCCAGGGAAGCTCTGAAAATCTCTGCATCCTGCCGCCATCTTGCATGGTCTACCTGGCATTTTACACTCACAAACTCTCACCCTTGACCTGCTCCCGGCCGTGGGCGTTGATGCCGACGGAGGTCGGGTTGGGCCCGAAGCGACCACAAGTGCTACCGGGGCAGGTCATGAGCCACTCGGTCCTCATCACCTGTGGTGACGGCTGGGAGCGTGGGTTTAGGACTGTCTTTGACGCTTTTTGAGGCCTGGAGGTCGGCATTCAGGTAGTGCGTCCCGCTGAAGTTGTTGCCTCTAGCAGTGTCAGGTGCCCATGAGCTGTGCAAGAAAACCCCTGCTGAGGCCTGCGAAGAGGTCGTGGGAGTCCAGGCTGACGCGCATGGTGCACTTGTAACTCATCTGCCGTGGGAACGCAGGCTTGGGCTCGGCCGTGGCGCAAGGAGCCCAGCAGGCCACGGCCGCAGCCAGAATGAAGAAGGGCCGTTCCATTTTGGAGCCCGGGCTGTAGCTGCACTGACCTAGCCCGAGCCCCTTGAGCAGCGTTCCCGCATAGACTCTCTGTTGACATTCACCAGCGACCATCACTTACAGTGACTTACAGGCGAGGCAGGCAGTTTTTTTTCTTTGTTTCGAGGCACACAGGTCATCGGCTTAAAGCGAAGAAGGAACAGTGTTTGTCTCTTCTGCCTTCTGTGCAGTGCTTTCGAGACACCTGTGCCGCTAACGACCATTCTTGCACCGCGCACTGTCCCAGCGACAGGGCGGGTGAATTTCAACACTCATGAGTCATGGACTGTGACTACGTACGGCGATTCCTACGAAGTAGAACTGATTAACACTGGTTGGATGGAGTGTTTCGCGCTAGCCTTACCGATGAGACTTCTCACGTCTCCGCTGTGATCTGCACAAAGATCGTGCCGGCGCCTTAGTCCGACGGATTCCGATGGCTCGTTTGCCAGAGGCGATGAGCCAGCCCAGCCTCTTCATTGCGCAGGCTCCTGCTCTGCAGATGCCTGTGTGACCACTCTAGAACGGCGGAAGCGGATGCAGCATCAGACGCTCATGCGCCTGTGTGCTCTCGTTGCTGCGCTTTCTGCGGACGACCTGCAGCATGACGCCGGCCCAAGCTTTGGTTTTGTTGGGCTCCGGCCGTCAAGCTCAACTGTTCAGCCCCAAAAGGGTCGCCACTGCGAGAGCCGAGAAATGTGAACGAACGTCCCGAAATCCAAGCGAAACCAAGGCATGCAAAGGCCTGTGCGCCCTCCGGGCTAGCTGCACGGTGGTTGCCAAGCCTAGCCGCGAACAATGCGTCCAGAATTACTGTAGAACCCCCGAAGACCTCGAAAGGCCAACTTGACGGGCCAGGGCCAAGGCCTGTCGGAAGACCCTCGTCGCACCTTCTCTCGAGACGATTGCCGGGCGTCCTGGAGGCGAGAGCGCCATTGCAGCCACTCGGACAGAGCATCCAGACTTCGCCACCGTGAAAAAAAAAAACTCCTGCTGTCTTTGAGCGATTGCAAGTTCGGCTGAGACCTGCCCTAGTAATCCATTCCCGACGAAAGCCAGCGCGCTCCTCCTCTTCCGTCCATCTCCTGGACTCCTGTTGTGACTGATTCAGAAATTCCAATAAGGGTGGGAAAGCGGCTATTTGCAGATGCATGCAGATGCACAGGGTCTCCTTTCTCGTCAGAATGGATATTAACCGGCAGATGTTGGCCGCTGCACGGAAGACGAAGCCGGGCAGGCTGACGAGAACCACCTCATTGAACGCGTGAGAGCGCAATGCAACTAGATAGTGCATCCCAAAGGTACTTAATCCACAAGTCCGGGAATGCCCCCATCACCACCAGTCTCATCAAGGTGTTTTTTCTGCGTACCATGTGCTGGCGATACTGTGCACTTCGCCACGGCACCGGGGTCGCGTTGACGATCAGGCTGAGCCCAAACAGCTCGAAGCCTTCGAAGTCCCAACAGCAGAGGTCCGAGGAAATCCAAGAAACAGCACTCTGGATTCTTCACCGAGCGGCTGAGGCAGGACCAGAACAAGTACCTCTTGTCCTCGTCTTGATGTCTGCGCTCTTGAAACCACGACAGTCATAGGAGACTACTTCAATTCATGGTGGCAAGCCGGTGCTGGGAGAGGCACGCTCAAGTATTTCCTGAGGATCCAAAAACTGGCACTGCTCCCAACCGCCAGAGCACTCTTCGGATGCTTCCCAAGCCGAGATGCCGCACGATGGTGTAGTCATACCCTTGGCCAAAATCAAGTGGAGCACTAGACTAGACTCACTAGACGACTTACAAAACGAAAACGGCTGGCGCCGGATTCACCCGCCTATTCATCTACTCGGCTGAGCATCCCATCTGCTTTTGGTGAACGCCAAGAACTTCTGAGAGGAACATGACAGATACGTGAGCCACAATTTCCACCAACACCTCGGCAGGAGCAAACGATCACATGGACTCAATGGCATCCGATGCGGCCCGCAGGGGGTGGTCATGCGTCTGACTGCCGAAACGGGCACAATGAGGCTTCGAAGAATGGCTGCCTCAGCTTCTTCGTCCGCCTCTCCGATTCTCCCCATCCCGTTAAATCTGCGCCGAAGCACGACGAATGGGGCCGCGCTGGCTCCAAAGCATGTCCGACCTGTTGCGACACTGGCACGATCGGGGCCGATGAGTGCAAGTGTCGCAAGATGCGCAACGTTCAACGGCCTTCGAGAACGGACTTGGCGGCAAAGTGCAGGCACAAGCCTTGCATGCTCTGGGACTCGATCTTACGTTCCCCGCAATCCCTGCAACCCTGAGCTTGCCAAGGGACACGAAGAGACGCGGTCAATTACCTGAGCCGGTTGCTGGAACATGCAGCCGAAAAGGGGCCTTCGCTCAGGCCAAGCTGCCATGTCTAAGTAGTAGCCTCGGGTAGCCGATTGCAGGAGAGGAAGTGCTTTCTGGAAGGTGAGCACTTCAGAGGAGGAGCCTAAGCGAGACTCCTGGTTGAGGGCACGTGCTGCGTAGCCGTCTATACAGTCCAGGAGGTAGCTGACGGAATAGTAAAGCCTCAGACCGGACCACCACAAAATTCTTCGACAGAGACCATGAAGAGAAAGAGAGCGACAGACAGAGAGAGAGAGAGAGAGAGAGAAAAAAAAAAAAAA